ATGCAGAACATTAATATCGTCACAAACATCAGATCCTTATTAAGGCAGTCATATTTTGACCAAATTATGTCTTGTTTACTTTTCCTTATTTGATACATACAAAATTTTGCATCCTTAGTAGCATATGTTCTGAAAAGGCAAATCAAGGGGAGGGTTGTGTGCATGTTAAACTTGTTTAACCTCTAAACATAGTGTTTCTGTACCAAGTCTTACCAGCTTTAAGTTATCATGAGATACTGTATGAGGTAACATCATCAATGGTCAACATGGTCAAGACAAAACTTTAAATGAATCGATAACGATTATAAGTTAACATCAATAATAATGAATATGGGCCCCTGTTTCATTAAAATTAAGAAAAGTTATCAATTGTTCATTGAAATGTTTTAATTTGGTTCACCAATGAAATCTTCCAAAATTGATATCCCACAAATATTAACCTGAATCTGTAGTGAATCTCTATTGATCGTTCTCGTTGCAACATTTTCAAAGTGCCTTTTGTTAATTTGTACAAATTTATTTTCTGAAAAATCACACTATTCTAGTTTATTCCTTCTTATGGTGGTTCACTCTGCATTCAGAAGGTCACTTCCATATTGATTGAAGTTACCTTCCTTCCAGGCTTATGACTGGCAAGATTTTACATATCTTGGCTGCATTCCCCACCCACCACCACATTGCAAATTTCAGTCCAAGGGGAACCTTTTTTTATACTGTTCACTTTAACAAAATTGCTGTGTAAAAATTAGTTGAATTTCTATTTATGTATTAATTGTAATTTATATAACAAAATGATTACAAAACTTTCCCAAGTTTGCTGCCCACCTTTATATTTTAGTCTTAAGAAACTAGAGATTTCAATTACTTGTTATTTTTACGGTTTTAACAAATTAAATGCTTGCCATTATTTGAAGAAATATTGTTAAATGCAGACATAATTGATATTTTTTAAACATTGACCTGTTTACCGGTAAACTAAAAAAGAATATGACTTATTCGCATATTTATCATTTACTCTATTTATAAATAACATTTGTCCGACATTGTCCAAGAAAGAAAAACATCAATTTCATTGAATATCAGAATTTCCTGAAGGTGCTTGACTTGGACTGATGAAATAATACAATACAAAATATGGCATGAAATGAAGCATGGAGAATTTTACACAGCAAGAAAACTCTTAAATGCCATTTACATCTTTTCTGAAACCACTTTGTTTATTACTTCTTCTTTGAAACCACTTTTTATTACACCTTCTTTGAAACAAAACAAATTTAAATTCAAATTCCAATAAAAAATCGGGATAATTTTGTTATAATGCCAGTCATTAGGATTTTATTGTTGGCCCTTTTTAATTAGATTATTTTTTAAACTTTACTCTTTGAAAGAAGAAATCTTTAATGCACACAAAATCTGTGTACAAAAATTAAACATGTTTCAACTTTATCAATGATTATAAACATCAAAATTAGTTATAAAAAAGCTAGAAATTTAGCAGAATATTTATGAAATCCTAGATGAGAAGCTAAAACACTTGTCATAATTTAGTTCAAAATAGTACAGATCATAATAAATCAAATGACCAACCCTATGGCCAACCTACCATGATACTGTTTCCTATACACATTTTAGATGACCAGATATTTTAACCATCACCTGGATACCTAATAAAATTGCAAAGATTAACATTACCTTTTTTTAGAAAGGAAAATAATAATAGTTACAGTGCATGTCAGTGTGACATTATTGAGTCAAGTCATATCCATTAATTGTTGTAAAATCCAGTGAATTGTTATGCCATATCCGGTAAATTGTGTTGTCATATCCCAGGGGTGTCTGGTACTGAAAGGCCAATGCAGCATCCAGCCTGCCTATGAAGTCTGTATAAACGTCTACTTCTAAATTCTAGATACATGGTAGACTTGGTATTTCATGATTTGTGTGTCTCTTCCAACATTTCCTTCTGAGCAAAGAATTGGAATATGGGTTTACCGTAGAAAAACCCACACTGACCCTAAATTCTTTCAGAACCCTATCAATGACCTTTTCCTATTATTTTAAGAATGAAAGGTATAGCGCGGAAAAACCACACTGACCCATGGTATACTAGTCATATCAGATACATGTAGTTGAAGGAAGGACTCTTAAATTCAGATGTTGTCTTTATAACTTGTTTAAAAGTACTTGTCCCGTTGCATGGATGTACTTGTCCTATGGGTTGAACTTCAAATTTCCACACCCCTGGGATTATCGAGTAAATCATTGTCAAATCCAGTATATTTTTCAGTCATAATAGGTAATTTTCTGTCATATCCTGACAGTGGTATCATCCTGATGTTATTGAAAACTTGGTATAAATCTCTGGTTGTACTCATGGCGGTAACTTAAGTACAGGTAATGAGGCTGATCCTGTATTCACTGTTTCGAAAAAAAAGAATTCAGGACAAAGCTTCTAATCATGCTTATTATTGAACAAAACTGGAATTCACTGGTACCATTGTCATAATATATTTGAAAATTGTATATGAATGAAACTTGCAATTATATGAAACTATTTTAAAATCTGACATTTATGAGACTTAAGTTCCCATTTTTTTTGATGAGTCTCAATATGACATTCTAGATAAGGTTTTTCTGAAGATTTACAGATATGGACTTAATTACAAAATGTATTTGTGGCCTTCGGTTGTTGTCTGCTCTATGGTCGGGTTGTTGTCTCTTTGACATATTCCCCATTTCCATTCTCAATTTTATTTAAATTTCAAACAGTTTATACTGAAGATGAATACAGCATCAGCCATGTCTCTGTCTATTGAAGAGGTCCCCTTCATAAATCCTTTCATATTAACCACAAGATCTATTTAAAAAAACAGGGGCAGGCTTTGAAAATGAATGTAGTATAAACAAGGTTATAGTAAAGGCTCCTGTTGAAGGTCAAATTGTGATTTTAATGTTCACATGGAAAAGCGGCAATTAAAACGTTCTGATCTGCCATTTGTTTTGTCATTTTGTAATTGCCTGTTGTTTACATGGGTTGCTGTCTGTCATATTTTTGATATTTTGCTTTGCTTAAACAGGCTGTAGGTTTACTTGTTTTGAATCATTTCTCAATTTTTTCATGCCAGGTTCAATTGTATCTTGCTTCATGGTATTGGTTTTGCTCATTGTTGAAGCCCTCCCCCCCCCCCCCCCTTTTAAACAATGATCTAAAATTGTGTCATTTGCAATCATATCACATTTCCTTATTCTTATCATGATTATATTAATGGAATATTACATACTAGTCTGTTTGTCTATGAAGAATAATTGTGTCATTTGCAATTATATCACATTTCCTTAATTTTTGTCTCCTATTACATACTGTTTAAATGTTCAGAAAGTCAAATATTCCAGCCCTTATACATCAGGAATTTTTCTGAGGATTCAACACACATATTCAGTCATGGTAGTTTGTAATTATCCCTTGTTTACAAGTGTTACCAGGGTACCCTCTTAACAACCTGCCCCCTTCCCCCTTTTATGAATTTTGTCTTTATGAAAATAGCCTTGTGATCCAAGCCACTAAGGGTGCACACTTATATAAAAATGTCCAGTGCACCATTTAACATATTAAAGTGCTCATTATACAATTGTATAATAATCTTTTCACTATTAAATGTACATTAATGTAACGGTTGTTGATAATAATACAAAGCAGGGTTCATATTCATATATCATTAACATGATTAACATGTTCTAGTCCTAATATGCATGTAATATTTGCCACTTGATTTTAAACACCTGCCATGAGGCTAAAAAAAATAACTAAAGTTGTCGTTTGTTGATGTGGTTAATTTTCTCGTTGTTTATATAAATTAGACCATTGGTTTTCCCGTTTGAATGGTTTTACACTAGTAATTTTTGGAGCCCTTTAATGCTTTGTAGCATGCTGTTCGTTGTGAGCCGAGGCTCCTTGTTGAAGACCGTAATTTGACCTATAATGGTTAACTTTTATAAATTTTGACTTTGATGGAGAATTGTCTCATTTCCACTCATACCACATTTTCGTATATCTATAAAGTATATGATACATAACTTAACTTACTAAATATGCATATTCATAGGATGATTTAAGAAATAACTAGTGAAAAGGTGTATTATGCGTAAAATTTAGAACATTGTTTTTTCTCAAATTTCTTCTGCTCTACACTGACCAATAGCTGCTTACAATCTTTTTGGGTCAATTAAAAATAAATGTATAATTGACAATCATTCCACATCTCCTTACTTTATAACTTTAGTGGGTATGAAATTTGATAAAATTATTTTATGTGTAACATTTAGATTTAAGAATCATTATTTAGTGCACTGGACATTAAAAGTAGTACATTCCCCAGTGATCAAGCAGCTTTTGAGCAATCTCTTTGTCCGCTAACAGATTCTCCCTGTTCTCCTTTCCATCATCTTTTGTAGTCTCTTCTTTCAGGGCAAAATATCTCTTGCTGACCTCAATCTGTAGCTTAGAGAAAGATTGATCAAAAGCCGATATAAAGGACTTATGACCAGGGTGTTTTAGCTTCAATTCCCTGTACTTAAGACAGTCATCCACATCTGATGATGGGCCAAGTAGTTGGACAACCATGTCTAGTGTTGTTTTCTTTCTACATGATGCTGAAGCATAAAACTAGTATGTATTTAGCATATTATAAAGAGTTTTCCCCATCATTTGTTTGGTCTCGCTGGCAGTTATAGATTATTTTTTTCTTCAATTCCTTCAAATATTTTTTTCTTCAATTCCTTCAAACTTAAAAAAAATAGCTACATTGAAAACTATGTTTTGTTCCAAAAATATCTGATGCTGCATACAGTCATGACTGATTAATTTAAAACTATAATAAAAATAATCTTTGAAAATTTCATATAAACATTTGATTTATGACACTTCTGAAATTTCATTTCACATCTTTATATGTTCTATTAAACTTGTAATAATATATACTTATCATTCTAATACTCACCAATTTCTTGTTTGGAAACTTCAGACGCGAATAGTTTCCTCTTGCATGAAAGTGGTTTCTTTGCCCTGTTAGCATGGTTAGCTGAAATTGAAAGTTTTGTTTTGAAAAAGGAGTTGTGAACAGCAAAATAACAACAAAAAGTAGAAAAAAATTGGCCTCTTTAAATTCCTCCAATATTAAGAATGAGAATCTGAAGATTGTGTAAATACCTGGTAATTTGTTTGGTTTGTTGAACAGACTCTCATGGACATGAATTTTGCTACATGTGGGTTGTACAGTCCATCTTGAAACTGAAAAAAAACATATGATCATCTGAATAATGTCAGTTAATTTCTTTTTTACTCCCTGCTAAAACATTTTAATAAATCTGTAGCTTGCATGAATCATTTCGTAAATAGCCGCTAGAAAAAATGTGATTAATTCTTTTTATTCTCAAACCCAACATTTCCCATTTCTAATTTACATGTTTTTCTCGTAAGCTACCGTCAAATCCAAGGTTGACATTTCGGAACTAAAGAGCCGCCATGTTGACTCGCTGAAATGAGTAAATATGCGAATAATGCAACCGAATAGAAAATAAAAACAACCCCTAATTAAAAATTCATCTTAATATAATATTATACGAATTTCGATGGTTCGCGTAACTGAAAAACCTTCAGCTTGAACGTTTTCATTGGTATGACGTCATGTTTTGAAATGACTTAAACGCGTCAAAATCATTAATGGACTTTTCGAGGAATTTTAAATATTCTGATTTTGTAGATTTCTCCGAGCTCTTGCGCATAAATTCTTTTTGTTATGCATCCGAATAAGAATAAAAGTTCAGTTCTTTGTTTTCAATTGCAACTTTAAAAACACTCAAATCGGCACATCGTTTGCAAATAGGTTCCGATACATGTGGATTTACGTGGGAGGTATATTGTAACATCCATTATTATGTATATCTCTGAGTCTGCGCTAAGTATAGATATATCCAGAATTTTATCACGGTGTTGTTTACAAAGCAAAAGAAGCACGTCATATTAGAATTACCTTTAATGTACGATTTGTACTTTTCCTTGTTTTCCTTGTCTTCCAGGTGTTTTCTCTCTTGGTCTATTGCTGGTACTTCTGGTGGTTCTGTGACAAGAAAATGAGATGTTCATTTATTTATGTATTTACACATACACTTGCCATGAGATATATTCTTAACAGACATGTAAGATGTACAGATTTCTCGCAAAAACTATTCACTAGTTAACCAATAATTGAAAAGTGAATAAGAAATTGAAGGTTTGTGAAAAAGTACTAAGATACTTTTTATACCTGAATTTGTTATCTATTAAGGTTAAAAACTTATATCACATTTATGTGGTTAGAGATACCAATAAAGACTTTATGGACAGAAATTAACCTGTAAATTTGGCAAATATATAATCATGATAATAAAAATAAAATTGAAATACAACAAAATGAAATTTCACATTTTTTCACAAATATTTTGAACTGTATTTGCCATACAATTTACATTACCTTGCACAATGGGAATGTTCGGGATGTAATCTTTTGTGGACTCAGAGTTGTTATCTGGTATAAAGTTAATGAGATTTAATAATGCAAGTTCACTTGAAACTATGGTAGAGTGAAAAAAAAATCTATTATTTTAAAATTATATAATTTCAGAACATTCTGGTGGCTTTACAAAGTGATTCGGATGCATGTCAAACACATGTAATAATTAATGTATTATGGTGTGTATAACTATAAAATAGTATTAATTATTTACAATTCTTGTCTTTTCAACTTACCTAAAATTTTCATTTAAAAATCAATGTACATTTATATAATTAATAGTAAGGAAATGCATCTTTACCGAATAGTCGTAAAAAAACAGGCCCCTTATTTTGTTACATAATTTTTTTTCGTTAGAAGTTCCTTAATTATATACCAACGCTCAATATGAGTTTACCTTGATTTGTCTCTTTCTGTGCTGTTTCCTCAAGTTTATCATTTTTTTCATCCTCACTGATGGTATTTGTAGGACTGGACACATGTTTCATGACTGTAAAAAACATGAATTCAAATAGATTTCCATAAAAGAAAAAATCAATAAACATTTAAAAACACAAGCATGTATTAAATGAATGTTTTATATATTGGTTTCATTTTCTTGATCTATTGTATTCTAAGAAATCTATTTGCCTCCATTTTCAAAATGTTGTGTTTATGTGTCTTACACCGAAATCTATAGGGGTTTTAACTTCTTGTATGGCAGTTTGTATAATAAATTTCGGGATCCTCTGGTTTTGTCAAAATTAAATACAACTGAAAAGGTTGATTTGTCATTGACATTGGCTGATGATGTAGTAATAATTATAAACAGAACAGAAAGTGGAACTTTTTCACATCTTTGTAACCAATGTGTTCAATCAGGATCTGTATTTAAGTCAGATTGACATGTATCATTCATTTCATTCAAATTGCAGCATATATATATATATAGTATAACGTAGCTGACTTGAGATTTGTTCTTTTGTAGATCAATTTTCCATCTTCCTTTGTTTTGACATGCAATAATGGAAGGACAAGTTCAGATGATGCAGCCTTGTCCAAACTGGTTTGCCAAATGTCGTCAATGATAGCTCGTTCTTTTTTCAAAGATGTTGATCTGAAGTTTGCAGTATCAGGACTTTGCATGCGGAATTCAGGCTCATCCACAGAGTCGTGAAAAACTATTTCAGTGCCATTGTAGTGCCACTATATATTATATCCTGGAAGCAAAAAGTCAGCAATGCGCTCAAGGTGTGACTGGAAAAGTGATGACTTGATTCCAAAAATCGTTTTAGGAAAGATGGTGTTTTCCCGCTTAGAAAGTAATTTTGATTGTTGACTTATAACCGAGTTCTGTTTTGAGAAGGAGCATATGCGGTTTTCAATTTGCTGGCAGTTAAATCTTAAAATGGTGTTGTCTACGATCCAACCAGGTTTTCGGTTTGTTGTACCCTCCGCGAGACGTCTTAGTGATCCAAAAGTTCGTTCTTCCTGCTCTGCAAGGATAGATTTTGTATTTATAATCCTATAAATCTCAGGCAGATGCACAACCAAGCTATGGAAATGACTGCCGTAAAATTTTCTTGGTGTCATCTTGACTGAAATTCCTATGATTGATTTAGACAAAACAGCGAAAAGGAAAGTTTGATTATACAACCTTAAAATTTGTCTGGGAGTTCTTCTTTCAACAGAGCTGTAAGCTATATTAATAAGTTCTACTAGAGAATTAATGAGTTGTGAAATATCTGACGAAATTTTTCCATCCAATTGTAAATTTTCGATGAACTTTGAAAGTTTTATGGCATAAAGTCGCGCGTCAGATCCTTTAATTTGATTTTTGTCTCCGATGGTGTTGTTACAAAATTTGTCCAACTCCAATTTTGTAGACTTTTGTTTAACATGATGTGGCAATTCTTGTATTATGTTTTGGACTACATTTGAAATGTCGTGTAGTGGCTCACACGGGAGTACCTCATAACAGCTGATGTGAGACTCTGTCAAAGATTTTTCCGGATAATGTAGGAGAAGGGCAGGTGGGCGAGATATTCCATGCAGCAGATCTGACATTTCTTCCTGAAGTCTTGCTTTTGTGTTAAGCCTAAAAGTATCAAAACCTCTACATTCAAGTTCTTCAATTAATTCCTCTTTAGTTAGATTTTGGAATGGGTTGATGTTTCCCTGCTTTATTTTTACCAGACTTTCTCCTTTCAAAAATACTGCACTGCGGTCTTCCAAATCAGAGGGTGTTCGCTTAAAACAGCATTCCTAATTCATGTGATCTTTACTGTGAACACCGCATAAGCAAGAAAAATTTCCCCTTCTCTGCTGACCAGCCTCAAACTGTCGGGCTGGTCCATCTCCGCTGAAAAATCTCAGTTGAAAAGTATACGGTATTCCATCAAAAATTATTCCTTTCCTCAGTTCCTCTAGATCTTCAGTTCTGGCAGGTGTGTACGATACTTGTTCTGTGTCCTTTGAGCCTGCAAAAAAAATGAAAAACATTCGCTAGTCGCAAGTTATAAAGAAAATTCTAGAATTACAATTTTCAAAATTACTAAGTTTACATAAAACTTGAACATGTCTAACCAAAATTGTATAGACTTTTACAGTGCTTGTTCAAAATATTTATGATATAGTTGGAGTAGGTACAAATACATATATACATGATGTAGGGAAACTGGAAATTAAACTTTATTTTGTAGGCCTTAATATTTTATTTTTATGAAAACACTAAGTCACTTCACCAAGGATTTTGAGTATGTGCGAAAAATTGTCCAAAAAAAATCATAGTTATTCATGTTATTGCCAGCACATCAATTTGAGTCTGGTCAGCAAATTGGGGGATATTTATGGTTGTGTAGGATATTTAGAAGTCCTTGGTTGTTATAAGTAATTGTTTAAATTTAATAATATGGTTGAGTCCTCTTGACCTCATTTCCATGCTTCACTGGTTATGTTGATTTATTGTGATTGTTTAAATCTTTAATGCCGTAAGCAAAAAGTCTAATTTATTTGGTATAAGGAATGATTTAAAGATGTACATGTATATCAGATTGGGTTCATTGATTTGACCTCGACATCCTTTATAGTTCATCTGGCCGAAAGGGTTAATTTTTACAAACAAAAAAATAAACCCTTCATTTATTTCTGCTTTTTTATATCATTAATTATATATACCAAAAGTTTACAACACTTTTTGAAAGCTTGGTTATTTTGAAACAGTAACGAAAATCAAAAATATCAGAATGTTTACTTTCTCTGTTTCAGAAATCGTTGTTCATATTACTAAATTTTATGTGATACATGTACCTGTAGTAGAAGCTTTAAAACATCGTCAGATATTTCAGTGTGTGAACATTTGTTATAATGTTGCATAGAGCTTTTATTATAATTATTGTTAATATCTTCATACATGTGCAATAACCACTTTTAAAAGAAAATGAAAAGTTTTAGTGAGTATGTGCTTATCCTAGGTACTACATGCAGGTATATAAATAAAATCACATCAAATTATATTGTGTGTATAATTTACAGGTGAACTTTTGTACAATATTTTATTCATACATTTAATTTTTAATCATGTTGATGTACATGTATATATGATATAGTTTTGTCCAGCCTGCAACATTTATGTTGCGAAAATGAGACAAAACAATTCTATATTCAAGAGGCGGATTTTTTTTTTTTGAAATGTTTATATCAAGTGACGAAAGCTCCCTGTAATGTTTATTTCTTTCTTATTATGAGTAATAGGATAACTATATTTAGTATGTGTGTACCTTGCAAGGTCCTTGACCTTATGCCCACAAGACAGTTACGTATTATGGTTTATATTTGACCTCGACCTCATTTCATGGATCAGTGAACAAGGTTCAGTTTTGGTGGTCAAGATACTATAAGCAATAGGCCTTCTATATTTGGTGTATGGAATGATTGTAAGGTGTACATGTCCAACTGGCAATTGTCATCTGACCTTGACCTCATTTTCATGGTTCAGTGGTCAAATTTAAGTTTTTGAGTTATGGTCTTTTTTCTAAAACTATATACAATAGGTCAACTATTTTTGGTGTATGGAAATATTTTATGATGTATATGTCAAACTTGCAGGTTTTATTTGACCTTGACCTCATTTTCATGGTTCAATGCTCAGTGTGAAAATGTTGTGATTTGATCTGTTGTTCTTAAACTATAAGCAATAGGTCAACTATATTTGGTGTATGAAATGATTGTAAGGTGTATATGTCTGTCTGGCAGGTATCATCTGACCTTCTCCTAGTTTTAATGGTTCATTGGTCAATGTTAAGTTTTCATGGTTAAGTTTGTTTCTTAGATACTATAGGAAATAGGTCAACTATATTTAATGTATAGACTGATTATAAGGTAAACATGTCTGTCTGGCATGGTTCTGACCTTGACCTCATTTTCATGGTTCATTGGTCAATGTTTAGTTTTCTTGGTTAAGTCTATTTCATAGAAACTATAGGCAATAATCACAATAGGTCAACTATATTTGGTGTATTGAATGATTGTAAGGTGCAAATGTATTTCTTGTTTGGTTTATCTGACCTTGACCTCATTTTCTAGGATCATGTTAAGTTTATGTGATACTTGTAGTAAAGCTTTTAAATTTATATTAAGGACTATCAACAGAAATCAATGGTTAATAAAGTAGGCGAGACATTTCAGCGAGTGCACTCTTATTTAAGGATAAAGAGATTATGTCGGAAGCAAACTTG